TACCACACATTTAAACCAGATCGTTGATCGCTATGTTTTCTGATTCTAACTTCAACCTATTATATTTTAGTCTTATACCACACATTTAAACCAGATCGTTGATCGCTATATTTTCTGATTCTAACTTCAACCTATGATATTTTAGACTTATATCACACATTTAAACCAGATCGTTGATCGCTATATTTTCTGATTCTAACTTCAACCTATGATATTTTAGTCTTATACCACACATTTAAACCAGATCGTTGATCGATATATTTTCTGATTCTAACTTCAACCTATGATATTTTAGTCTTATTCCACACATTTAAACCACATCGTTGATCACTGTGTTTTCTAATTATACCATACAGAGCGTTGAACATTTTTTTTATTTTCAAGAATGTTCTTCTTTTTTTTTGGGGGGGGGGGGTTGGTTCGTTTGGAATTTCGCGCAAAGCTACACGAGGGCTATCTGTGCTAGCCGTCCTTAATTTAGCAGTGTAAGACTAGAGGGAAGACAACTAGTGATCACCGCCAACTCTTAGGCTACTATTTTATCGACGAGTAGTGGGACTGACCGTCACGTTATAACGCCCCCACGGCTGAAAAGGCGAACATGTTCGGTGGGACGGGGATTCGAATCCACGACCCGCTGATTGCGAGTTGAACGTCCTAACCACCTGGCCATACACAGCCTTTCTTGTTTTGTATCACAAATTGTCTTCGTGATCTTACCATTGTAAGCATTACGTTCAGCAATTTGAATTAAATGCGCAAGTCTATTTAAAATGAATATTTAAATATAAAAATAAGCCAAGCTAACCGCGACTACTATTGCTAAACAATCAGTCATTATTGATGTGTGTTTAATCCTTTTACTGCCACGTGCACATATATGTTTTCCGCTAAAGCGTGCAATGGGAGTTTGGAAATTTGTACCACCATAAAGAAAGGGTATTCCCTTCAAATATCTCAACTATTAGCGGCTTCAAATTTCATAAAATAAAAATATTAGACATATATATATTTCTATTATCTAAAAGTAAGCCTTTCATTGGGATGTTTGTAATTAAGCCCAAAGCTACACCACGGGTATCGAAACCCGGATTCTAGCGTTGTAAGTCTGCAGACATACCGCCGTGCCACTAGGGGGCTTTTCAGTAGGAGAGCTAAAATCCAATTTCCAATCTTAATGTAGTCCTTTATAAGTTAACTCATTAATTCTTTATTTCATAAAAGATCGCTATTTGAAATATAACTAAATAATACTTATACATTTCATGTTCAATTTTCGGAGTGAAAACATTGTATGAAACAGAGTGTGATTTTAATTTTATTCAACAGGAAGAGGCAGTGAAAATCATAATAAAAACACTTATCTATATTTGGCCTATGGATTAGGTAAAGTTTTAAAGCCAAAACTTTTCTGTCAAGGTGAGATTGTCACTTCAGGGTTTAGTTAGAAATCAAGAAGAAACATTTCCTGATAACACTTATTCTGACAACTAATGTATCATAAATGCACCAATTAACATTAACTAGGGTTATGATTTAAAACTATAATTAGTTCACAGATATAACTTTTAGTATTTCCATATTTGTTGTATAAATATAATGATATTAGGAAGTGTGGACTTATAACGAGCAATGAAAAGATTATCAATTACATCAAAATAAACATTGTTGACTTGATGTTTCTGTTCAAACAAATCAAGATAGAATATTCATGACCTTATATTAATTGTGCACCTGTTGGTATTAATAGCTTAACCAGCGGTTTTATTAATAGCTCAATAATAGTCGTGCTTAAAAATCGTTTGGAGAAAACACAGACTTTCTTACATTTTATTTTGCTCAAAGCCGGATGTTTTTAGCCAGTTTCACCATGGGTATTTTCAACCTTTCAGACTTAATGCTGGCTATGCTACAACCTTTTAGGCTGATGCTGTTACCTTTCAACTTATTAGCCTTTATACTGACTCGACTTTGGCTACTCTACAACCCATTAAGCTTAACTGTGGGTATTTCAATTTTATGTTCGCCCTTTCAGCCGTGGGGGGCGTTATAATGTTTCGTTCAATTTCACTGCTCATTGATTAATACTAGCTCAAGAGTTGGCGGTGGGTGATGAAGACCGTTTGTCTTTTCTCTAGTCTAACACTTCAAAATTGTAAACGTCTAGCAGAGATAAGCCTCGTGTAGCTTTGCGCGAAATTCAAAACAAACAGTTAACATAATGTTTATAATTATGGGCGGCTTTCATTTTTAAAAAAGGCCCCAGTGGCACAGCGGTATGTCTGCGGACTTACAACGCTAGAAACCGGGTTTCGATACCCGTGGTGGGCAGAGCACAGATAGCCCTTGTGTAGCTTTGTGCTTAATTAAAAACAAACAAACAAAACAATCATTTTTAAATTGCATAGTTTTTAACTTCTTTAGCCACTTAAGAAAAAGACATGTATTTGCTTATATTAATATCTGTATACAACTCTGTATATTAAGCTGGAAATGGCTCGAATAACCTTAATAAGACGAATACGAATAAGTGTGATATGAAGATTAGCAATAAACTAACCGAATTAAAAGCATATCTTTCAACATTGTGTAAAGAACGCTTTTTTCTTCGAGATTGGATGTATTCGTGCATTTTCTCCAGCTTCCGGTCAAAAACTCCGCTCTCTATTTGCTCAATGTAATCTTTCATCCATCGTCGCCTCTTGGAGAAAGAAAACTGGGTTGAGGTTGAGGGTGCAAGTCTCGTGAAAGGCTTTCTCGATGGCGTCATAATCAGGTCGTGCAAAGCTAATGTCAGTTTTGGAACTTCCCGTTTGAAACGCTTTACAGGAGGATATCCAGCTGTGTGAAACAAAAAGACAACAATGTGAGTAATAACTGATAATATATTCAAATGTTTAAATTTTAACTCCAGTTTGCCTAATTTGCATAATTGTTCTTATCTTATAGTTACTTTTTATCCATTTCTTTACTGAATATTTGAGGACACATTTAATAGGAAAGTTCTAGAATATTATTGCTGTTATTTTTCCAAACGTTTAAGTTGTGTGATCATTTAAATTTTATTGCTGTCTGGAAATTAAATTAAAAAAAACAAACACGTTACCTACCTAAGATTTTTTTTTTAAATTTCACATACAATCAACTTTTCCTGTGAGGTGTTTATTTACAGTTTGATTCAAGGGTAGGGTTTTAACAGATACATATGTTTTCCACAATTTTTCTTAACATGTTAATTTGTTAGATGGATTGCCTATATAGTTAAAACGTGCCTCGCCAACATTTTTTTTAGTAAATTAACCCTTTATGTCAGTTGTTCTTGCATTTCGTTATTTGGAAGGATAGGGTATCAATATCCGGAATGTTGGGATACGAAAACAAATCGTCAAAAACAAAACACAATCTTGATTTTGTTAGACTTAATAAGAAAACAATAAATAGTTTAACTAGCTAATAAATGTCTTCTGAGCAACAGAAATTTAGTTAACCCTTTAATGGAAGGGAGATCGAGTTCCAGGAGGTGTGACTTTTGGAATAAAGACGTAGAAGGCTCAAGAATTTTTCACCAAATAACGCAATGCTACTTACATCTTAGGCCTAATTGCATAGGCTGAAAAGGCACAGCTGCTGATTCGTCATCTGAGTTTCCGCAGCGAGACTCACTCATAATTTGTAACGTTCCTGCATCCAGACGACCTGTCTGAGGTGTGTTATACGTTTTCTGATAATTCTTGATTGCATTCTCCAAATCTGATCTAGTACAGGCACGATATGGTTTGAACCTACTTCCTACTTCTGGAAGAATATGAAAGAAACCTGGAAACACTGATCGTTTTTGTCTCCTAGAGCCACACTTCAAATATCCATATTTTGCTAAGATATCCTGTAATGATTAGCAAATCGCAAGGATTGAACACTAATATTAGAATAACTAAACAAAAACGAAGTCAGATGAAACATTTGCAAAATAATGCATATAACTATTTAGTATATTATATAGAAGATTAATTACAAACTGTTGAAACATATTTAAATTAGCCACTGTTTCCCTGCAGGATGATTTTAGAACTACAGTCACATCACATTAAAGGAAACTGCGCTGCCAAGGCCGAAACATAATCAGTGGCTGAAGGAACATGTAAACAGAAAGTAATATTTATACAGTTAAATCGTATAATAGAGGCAAAAGACAATAATATAAATAATGGAACCTTCAATGTTCTCTACAGAAGCAGAAAGGAAAGACAACTTGCACAGTAGAGCGTTTAGAACAGCAAAATATTCCAAAGGTTCAACCTATCAGGTTTAACGTCCTTATCTACAAAGTTAAAGTTACTAAATAGAATCAAAAAGCCATTGCAGTGAAACTAGGAATACTTCCTTACACCAGAACTGGTGTATTTAAGTGTTTTTACACTCACAAAAAAGAGACCTATCATTCTATAGGTATTTAAAGAACTTGTAGCATTCCGCCATAATTGAATTATTCGTATTGTTAGCCGACACTGGTACATAATTGAATAGAGTTGTTTAAACATTTGTTTAACAACAAGTAAAAGAATGATAGGTTTATTTTTTTGTGAATGTAAAACACTTAAATACACCATTTCGATTTTCGATACCTCACTACTATAAAGGCTTGGTTTGGTCTGATATTTCATTGGT